AAAAAAAAAAAAAACCCAGAAGGCTTTATTTCAGCATTTTCCTTTCTATTAACCAAGAGAGACGTGTTTGCATTTGCACCACATCAGACCTAACCAGGAAAATTGGACTTTGCCACTAGAAATCTGAACTTGATAAAGCATGCACCCTGGGAATATTCACTAACAAGAAGAAAGGAAGTATTGCTAAGCCTATTATTTTAAGTGTATATATATATATATATATATATATATATATATATATATACGGAAATGTATGGAAATGTCACCCTTTTCATGCCAAAGAATTCACAAGTGGGTACTGGCATATCGGGGGAAAAAACAAATACAAAATGTACACTTCTGCCTTTCTGATCTTTGTGCTTCTGCAGAAGAAGGATGTACGCATGCTGAGGTTCATCCAGGAAGTGAACACCACCACACGCTCCTGTGCATTGTGGGATCTGGATGAGGACACCGAGTACATCGTCCACGTTCAGAGCATTAGCATGGGAGGAAGCAGCCCTCCAAGTCAGCCTGTGCTATTCAGAACGCCAAAAGAGTCCGAGAAGATGGCTTCCAAAAGCCCTGGTGAGAGAGAGAGTAATACTTTTTTAAATATTTCAGAATCTAGATATTTTAAAGTCTAACCCTGGGTGAAAACTTTACCACTGCCTTGTCCCCAATTTTCTCTTTGCTTGTGTAAAGTTTCCCAAATTTTTCTCGTAGTTTCTCATTCGAATCTGTCCCTTTGAAGTGCTGTATTCTTCAGACGTTTCTCAGCCAGACATAACCTTCGTATGCGTGCTTTACTTCGACAGCACACACTACAAACACACTCGTACAGATCAATAATTTTAATTCTGTGCATGCTGGGCTCGCAAATCTATAAAAGCACGCTGAAAAAGCAATCGTGCATCAACATAAGGACACTCGAAGGGAGGAAACCAACATTCTGCTCGACTGTCCTTCCCCTGCTGACGAACATAGATCTAAATCTGCCCGTTCACAGGTAGGAGCACTTAAATAGCAGCTTTTAAACACAGACAATAACGTGGAGGGCTAATCTTCTCTTAATGTTTCATCGTCACAAAAATAGTCTCTTTTTTGACAGTTAAATCCAACAAAACACAGGAATTGCCATCTTTGCTAGAGTCCCTCCCACCTCCTATTCGATGCATTGTTCTCACTCTCAAGTACAGAGGCTGCTGTTATCAGAAGCGCCTTGCACTGCTTCCAATTTTATCATGTCCGACCCAGTTACTGTGCCAAAAGCAGCTGCTTCAGAGGGACACGGCGAATGCTAAATGCTCATCAGCAGCAAAGTGATAAGAGTGGAAACAGGAGACATTAGGGAGCGGTGGATTCCCTGGAAACATCACAGTGAGGGAGCTTGCTGAGGGTCTTGTGAGGCAGGAATGTGTTGATAAGTGGTCTAGAGTATAAAAAATCAAAGAGAAATCTATCTGAACTTATGTAAGCAGTAAAAAAGCAACATATTAGTACATTTTTCACTAGTGCAGACAAAGTCATTTTTAAGCCAGCTGATTGTTATATGACTTAACATTTAATTTCTTGCTGTTTAACGGCAGCAACAGGGGCAAACTTGAAATTCTTGGTGATTGATGACACAGTAGGTTCTTAATTTCAAGATATGCATGCGGGTAGACGTGGGCAGATTTATCAGCTCTGCGACCACCCATTTTCTGTGGGCAGATTTTGTCCCCTGTAGCAGGTAATTAAGTTAAGCTGTGTGAGCTGGCCGCGTCCAGCTGACTATATAATGCTTCCAGCTGACTTCATTTTCAAATCGAGACTCATGCAAAAAAGGGTCTCACATACTTTATGGACTTCATGAGCAACTGCATGTCCCTGAATAAACAAAAAGTTATTTTTATCACATGACGTTGCACTTAAATGATATGGAAATGATACTTTTGTGGTGGATCCAAAATGCAGGACTCAGACACAGAAGTACAACTTAAAGCGCAGCTTTATTGCTGGGAAAACCTCTTACTAAACTAAACTCACCAAAAGACAAACAAAAACGCTGGTGGACTAAAACACTGTAGCAGAAA